ATCGTCCCCTTTGTCCTATTCGCGATGCGCCCTGTCGTCGAAATCACGCGTACACCCATTCTAGAAAGTTTCTCCGCTATATGCGGGAGAAAACTTTATTTGCCACCGAATCAGATTGATATCTCTCTCCGAGAGTTTGATACATCGAAGTCGTAAGAATGAGTCAACTGTTCCACGAATGGGTGACGTAGAAACTTAACCGAGAAATATCAATATCTTCCAATGGTTTCGATGGAATAAAATCAGATTTCTTCCAGATACAGAGTCGATGTATCGTGAATCGTATTCGAATAAATGAAATCGTTTGGGATTAGATTGGAGCCTGAAATGGAATTTTGAAAATAATGAAATTAATCAAAAGAAAAATACTCGATTCGATCGTATATATTAATAAAATATTAATTTTTTTCCTAGGATCAGTTAAGCTTCCTTCCTCCTAGATTTCTCTCTCGAAGAATTTCTTTCTCAAAAAAAAAAATCTTAGAACGGTAAATAAAATAGCTTAAAACAAAGACTTTTTCCAGAGACCAAGATTCCAAAGAAGAATTCACTTATCTTTAACGTTAAAAGTTAAATTATTGAGAATTAATTCTATAATACGATCGTACGTGACAAGAATATTATACAGTATACGAAACTTTTCGAATGAAATCAATTACACAACCGAATCGTGGAATAATTCCATTCGTTTTCCAACGATGAACAAACTCAAAGCTATCCGTAGTTGGAAACTAATCTTCTAGATCGACACGTGCCGTTCCCCATTCCAGAATCGGGGGCTCCGCTATCATCAAGCTTGCTCGTATTCCACGAAAAGAAGAGGAACAGGAGGAGGATGCAGCGGAGATATAGAGAGGTCGTAGGGGGTCAGGGCAACGAGGAGACGAGATTTTATGGGGGAACGTGGAACCGGGGGTCGCCGTGGCGGAGGCCATAAAAAAACTAGGCGCCCGCTTCCAGGACACGACGGGGATAGGATATGTTTTGCCAAAAGCTGGGAAGCGTCGCGACGGCGCCAGGATGTCTGGAGCCAGTGGCTCTCCCAGTTTCTGTCAATTCCAACTGACTTCCATCCCACGGATCCGAAAACCACAATCTCCACAAGCTTTTCTACATCTTTCAACCCCGTTGAATTTTTGCGATCCAATGGTTTCGTGCGATCAATTTTTCAAAAATTATTCAAATTTTTCAATGTATTCTTCTCAATTCCATTGCTTCCTGAATTATTGAATTAAGATTTTTAATGTATTTTATTTCACCTATGGAAACATCAAAATTTTTAAAAAATTAAAATTAATTTCAGTTAAAAGAAATAAAATAAATTATTGGATAAAAATTATTCGAATATTGAATATATTCTTTTCAATTCCATTGCTTCTTGAAATTACTGAATTAAAATTTTTAATGTATCTTATTTCATGTGTGGAAATATCAAAATTTTTAAAAAATTAAAATTAATAATTTCAGTTAAAAGAAATAAAATATATTATTCGTGGATAAAAAGTATTCGAATATTGAATATATTCTTTTCAATTCCATTGCTTCTTGAAATTACTGAATTAAAATTTTTAATGTATCTTATTTCATGTGTGGAAATATCAAAACTTTTAAAAAATTAATATTAATAATTTCAGTTAAAACAAATAAAATATATTATTCGTGGATAAAAATTATTCGAATATTGAATATATTTTTCTCAATTCCATTACTTTCTGAACTAGTTGAATTAAGATTTTTAATATATTTGATTTCACGTATCAAAACATTAAAACTTTTAAAAGATTAAAATTACTAATTTTAGTTAAAACAAACGAATAAAATATATCACTCGTCGATAAAAATTATTCAAATTTCAATTGCTTTCTGAATTACTGAATTAAGACTTTTAAGATGTATTTTATTTCACGTATGGAAGCATCAAAACTTCTAAAAGATTAAAATTAATAATTTTAGTTAAAACAAATAAAATATATTATTGGTGGATAAAAATTATTCGAATATATTCTTCTCAATTGCTTGAATTAAGATTTTTAATGTATTTTATTTCATGTGCCAAAGTATCAAATTTTTAAAAGATTAAAGTTACTAATTTTAGTTAAAATAAGCATAAAATATATTATTCGTCGATAAAAATTATTAAAATTCCATTGCTTCCTGAATTACTGAATTAAGACTTTTAAGATGTATCTTATTTCACGTGTGGAAGCATCAAAATTTCTAAAAGATTAAAATTAATAATTTTAGTTAAAATAAGCGAATAAAGGAAGAATATTACTGATGGATAAAACTTATTCGAATATTGAATATATTCTTCTCAATTCCATTGAATTACTTCTTGAATTACTAAATTAAGATTTTAAGATGTATTATATTTCACATGTGATGAAACATCAAAACTTTTAAAAAATTAAAATTAATAATTTCAGTTAAAACAAATAAAATATATTACTCGTGGAATAAAAATTATTCGAATATTGAATATATTCTCAATTCCATTGTTTCTTAAATTACTGAATTAAAATTTTTAATATATCTTATTGTAAAAGCATCGTAAAATTAAGTAACGATTTTAATTAAAGAATGATATTACTCTTCGAATAAATAATAATTTTCTCGAAGACAAAAAAAAAAAACATCGATCAATTTCTATCTCGATTCGTATAAAATCTCTTAAACCTTAACTCTTCGAGTGATTTTTTTTTAAAAAAAGGAAAAACTAGGTTCTGTTAAGAGAATCATAATTCTTTCGCTTGACACAGCGATTTACGTGACGTTTAACAATACAGGAGGATTAACTGCGGGCAAAAGGGTGAATTCGAGAAGAATTCTTCTACGAGGGAGAAGTTGCCAAAGTCTCGTACAAAGGGGGCGGGTTGTTTCTTCGCGTTCCACTATGTGGATTCATCCGCGTCCTCGATGGGGATGATTTATGGACGAGATGACGGGAAACGGTGGATATAAATTCACGAATAAATTCATTTTTCTGAAAGGTTTTCGATCCTGATACCCGGAGCCAGATTACGATCTACTAAATCGATTGCTCGGGATACGCAGATAAGATATATTTCGTATTATGCAAGAACGAATACACCGTTCGTTCGAGAATTTCCCCCGAATAAATCTACTCGTTTCGACCTTTCTGCCGAAGTTGTTTCGAAGCAATTTTTATTCGCGAATTTAACAAAACTTCAATAAAAATATACTCAATATTCGAATAAGTTTTATCTATCAGTAATATTCTTCCTTTGTTCGCTTATTTTAACTAAAATTATTTCATTTCTTTTAACATAAATAAGAAAATATCTTCGATCTTGAATAGAATTATACAATTTAAATATTTCCAATATTTAATTGTTGAGGGGTTGAAGATATTTTCATTATCTTCTTCAATATCTCAGAATAAAATTTTAACATACCGTATATATACTCGAAACCAATTTTTAATTGTAATATCGTATTTCTCAAATTTTATTTATTTTTCTTTTTTCTTTTTTTATATAATAATAATTCTCTCTCTCTCCCCCTCTCTCTCTCTAATACTCGATACGAAATTCAGCCGTTTCTACCTCATATACTTTACGATTCTCTGGGCGTCGGAATAAAGGGAATACAGAGATACATCACAAGCCCCTAAAAGAGTACAATGGAGAACAAACCCTTGCGAGTTCAGTCGAGGATGATTTGACAAATTCTTCTGGACGGTGTACAGGGAGGGGAGATGTATGCAAGAGTACCGAAAGCAAGAGTGAAGCGCGTGCGGGTATCGAAATCACCCGTGTCTAACGCGGGAACGCGTGAA